GGTGGGCAGAAGGCAGCAGTGCAGCAAACAAGCAGCAGCAGCAAGTGATAACACTGGCCCTCTTTCTGTCCCTTATATTCTATCCAGGCTAGCCATATTTAGAGAGAGCAGCACTCACACCCAGGGTGGGCCTTCCTATTATCCATACCCAGAACTGTGCCAGACCGATCAGTGGACTAATTTAGTAATCATACACTCTTCATCGCAGCATCATATACCCTAGATCCAGCCACCTCTGAAAATTCCCACCTATAACTACATGAGGCTTTGGGGAGATGAGCCATGCTGCTTTGGGCAAATGACATGCTATGTTGAAGGCTTATGTAGTGCACCTAAAGGTGACCTCTGAAATTCCTTTCACCTTAATCCCTAAATTAGATTCTCAGGTACATGAGGATATCTTGGGCCAGTAATAAAAGCTGAGTACTACTATGTGCCAGGCCCCATGATGGGTCTGATTTTCCTCACATTCTGAGAAAACCCCTGCAGGATAGGTTTTTGCCCATTTCTGAAAGGAAGAAACTGTGGCCCAAAGATTGCAAGACCTGCCCAGGGACACTCAGTTGGTAAGTTGGCAGATCCAGGATTGATCTTACGTCCGCCTGGCTGACTCCAGCTCCCATGTACTTCCCACCTCACCACTCTGCCTCTCGATTTGGTGGCAATCTGCCTAGCCTTCACACTCTCTCTGATTTGACATTCCAGCACTGACTTTCCTGTCACTTGTCATGATACAGACTTTCTATAATTGCTCCTTTTCTCTAGATCTTCAGAAGCTGCCAAATCTTGCAAAGGCCTTGTTTACTTTGTACAGTACGCTGCATCCTCACTTAAGTGGAATAGTGCATATATATCCTGAGAACGGTGCCTGGCACATGCGAGCTCTCACAGACCTTAGCTCTTAGGTATGCCCCTATGGTAGCTGATTATTCACTCTATGTGGGTCATTTGGGGTTACTGGAGAAATGTGCCAGCAGCTTGCTTCACCTCCTGCAAGCAGAAGGACAGAACCCACATCCCACCACCATTCAACTTAAGTTTCTTATACAGCAGGGCAAAGGGTAGGCTGCTTGGGTAGTGGTGTGGTGGGACTGTGCCCTTTGGATAACAAAGGTTCTGCACAGCTCACATCCATTCTTTCTTGTCACTGAGTGTCCGGACCTGGAGGAGAATTCAACTTTTTTCTTGTTCCATACTAGGGTTTGAACTCAGGGACACTCTACCACCGAGGTATGTACCTGACCCTTTTAATTTTTCATTTGAGACGGAGTCTCACTAAGTTGCCCAAGCTGGCCTCTAACTTGTGATCATCTTGCCTCAGCCTCCCAAGTAGCTGGGATAACAGCCATGTGCCACCATCCCTGGCTCATTAAAGTACTTTAATTAGGAGGCTGAGCTGTGAAACTATAAAGGCGAGTGAAAATGTGATTCCTCTTTTTTAATGTTCCCACATTAGCTTTCTAGTTGAGTGGCAGGAAAACACTCCTACTTCCTGGCCTAGCAAACTACCCATCTTCAAGGCCAAGCTCCAAGAGGCCTTTTTAGGCAGTCCCAGTGCTTAACATAATGGATGGCGGATAATAACAGGCCTTCTGTGAGTAATGGAAGTGTTCTAGTTCCTTCTGGGAAAGTTCTTAACTAGTTTGAGTGCAAGAGTCACTTTGTCTCCCTACGCCTCAGTTTTCTCAAGGGACTGATCTACAGGATTGTTTACATTCCTGATGTTCTGCATGTAAGAGGGCTAGGGAACAGATAAATTTGAGATAGAAATGCTTTTTTCTAAATGAATTGTCAACAAAATCAGTTTTCCATTTTAAAACGTATCAGATTGTTGTACCTGCAGTCATACAGAAGCCAGGCCAAAACCAAATTAAGTTTAAGAGAGCAGATGGCATCTCTAGAATTGGCATCAGGGAACAAAGAAAATCCAAATAAAGTTCTAAAATAGTCCTCCTGACTATAGGAAGACATCAGTAAAACTGTGTGCAAACTCTGCTGACATCCATGGCCAGGAAAGATAAAGAAGACAAAAAGAAGTTCAGTGACTGTAAAGGAAAGACAGAGGACAGGGTAATTGCTAAGGAGACTGACAGACAAGACACAAGAAGACATCTGTCATGCCCAAGGGGCCATATTAGCTCTATTACATTACTTCCACATCAGCAGATCACCTCATTTCTTAGCTAATCAGGCAGAATTCAATATCTGAAATTATCTTTCTTAATTCTGCATGTGATCACTTGGAAACCCAGGGCTCTAAAATTCGAATTGTACCTGTTTTACCAAAATGCCATCCTTACTTTGAAGAACTGAACTGGGGCCAAATGTGAGGCTGTTTGGTCCACTTTCCCAACTGGAGGGTGTATGCACGGGTGCTGAGGACCCCTCATGATAGGGGCTCCCGGAGGGATCAGGGCCCTCATCCTAGTTCAGAACTCAGATAACAGTGCAAGAGGAAAGGCGGAGCATGGTCACGTGGAAGACGGGCATGGAGGTGGCGAAGAAACCGTTACCTCAGCCTTAGCAAAAGCCCACAGAGAAACGCATCTAGATACAGAGTTCTGTGGGCCTGGACAGGAACTGTCTGCCCATCTCTGAAAGGGTGACGTAAGGTCAGAGCTTGCTTATTTATCTGCGATTAGGATTTCTTTTCTGCTCAGCATCCTACATCTCAACTTCACCTCTCACCCTTACTTACGTGAGCTGATAATTGAGGGGACAAGCTGGTAGTGACTCTGTGCACTGCTCCTTGCCAGTTTTCCTAGGCTGCTCTAGTGGCGTCCCCAGGACAGACCTGCGGGGGCTGATGGCCTTCCATGGAGTGGCAGTGTTTCTTGGGGAACCTAAAACTATGAGGAGGTGAAAAAATATCTGGACTCAAACAATAGGGCCCACAGAGTTAGAGCCATGCACAGGATCCTCATCACCCATCGAAAACAGGGGTGCAGTTCCTGTCTCGCCAAACACCTGGCTGTCCTCTGTATGGAAGTGTGGGTACATGCTGTGAGTTAGTGGTTTGTGCACTTTGTGCGTTGCCTATCCAGATGGTACGTGTTCTGTGAATAAACTGTCAGTGACATGAACACTGTGTGCATCCATGCCCGTGTATATGTGAACGGAACATAGTGAGACAGTGTTCAGAGGTGTAACTTTTTCGGGGTTTCTTGGGGGGTTTTAGAGGGGCAGTTCTTTTTTCTTTTCTTTTTGAGAAAGGGTCTCACTATGTAGTTTAGACCAGCCTTGAACTCACTATGTAGCCCAGGCTGGCCTTGAATTTGAAGCGATCCTCCTGCCTCAGCCTCCTAAGTGCTGAGATTATAGGCATGTGCCACCATGCCTAGCTTAAAGGTGTAACTCGTTAAGGCAAGTCTCTCTTGCTTTCTTCCAATTTTTATTCCTATAAAAACATGTAGAGGGGCTGGGGATTTAGCTCAGCAGCAAAGCACCTGCCTGACAAGTGCAAGCGCAAGGTCATGAGTTCAATTCCTGGTACTGGAAGAAAAATAAAAAACAGACAAACAAACAAAAAACATGTAGAGAAAGGTGCTTTATACTATGGTCCACACTTGACAAAGCTGCAGTTTGAGGATAGGACAGTTCTGGAATTCATATCCTCTGAGAGTCTCTAAAAATTAAATTTTATATCCTCTTCTTTCCATGGTCAAAATAAACCAAAATTGAGAAAAGCAAGGGCACAGTTTCATCTGCTAGATGACTTCCTCGTGACTATTGTAATACCAGTTGGAAAATTCCTTTTCATCCACTTAGTCTTCTCTTTAACTTCAAGTGTTAGCACTCGGGAATCTAATTGTTTGGATCAAATTGTGACTGATTTACATGAAATACACATATTTCCTACTTCCCCCAGTAGTCCCAAGGCAAATCAGATTGCTCCCCTTCCCTCTTTCCCTATTAATAAAATTATCTTTCTTAATCTTGCATGTGATCGATTGAAAACCCAGGCATCTGAAAACCCTGGTAAGGGTTTATAACTGGTAAGGAATTATAACTTCCTACCAGAATTGGCACCTTCTTTTTAAAGAACTGAACCAGAACTTCTATAGGAATCTTAATTCCAGCATCTCACTTTGCTGAAAACCCACCTTCTGTCTAAACATGAGAAAAATCCTCTTAATTTTTGGAGACAGATACAGTGAGGAGGTTTCTGTTTCATCCTTAGGATGCTGAGCATTGTTTTTCAGATCTCTAGGTCACAACACTGGGTTTCTTCACATCCAGGGATCACAGTCAGGACCCTTAGGCTGCCTGTCATCTTAGTCTCAGAAAATTCTAAGAGTTCCAGGATTAAACAAAAGTGGCCCCTAGCACTGAAAACGGTCTTTTAAGAAGTAGAGATGGGCATAATGGTGTAATCCCATCGATTTGCGTGGCTGAGGCAGGAGGATCACAAGTTCAAAGCCAGGTAGAGCAATTTAGAGAAACTCTTTATCAAAATGCAAAATAAAAAAGGCTGGGGATATAGCTCAATGGTAGAGCGCTTGCAGTGTGAGGCCCTGGATTCAATCTTCAGTACCATAAAAAAGGAAAATTCCTGTGTAGGAAAGTGTGGCAAAGTATAATCCGTACTGTATGCCCAGTTGCTCAGCACATCAAATTTTGTGGAGGCACATGCTGGTGTAACGAGGTCATACTGGTGTGGTAAGACAGCCCCTAGCCACAGGGAGCTCGGGGTCTGGAAGAGCGTACAGCCCACTGGGCCAGAATAAAAGTGCTGGGAGGGGCGCCCCTGTGCTGTGGGAGTTCAAGCTGAGGAGCCCCAGGAAGCTTTGCGAGAGGGAATGGAAGGGGTGGGCGGAAGGGTAGGCAGTTTGGTGAGGGGTAACCCCGGCCGAGGCAACAGCTCAGGAGATGGCCCAGAAGCCACAGCGAGCATGGCATGGTTGTGCCCCTTCCAGTCGTTCTGTTACCAATCTGCAAGGGAGGGTGGGATTGTTATTCTGTCCAGTGTCTCAAACCCAAAAATGAGCCCAAACACGGAGTGTTGAAACACAAGTTTATTCAGTGACCGAAGAGTGAGAAGCGGGAGCCTCCCGCACACATCAGCTTCTCTATCCCACAGCTGGGGAATTAGCAGGGTCAGATAGGAATACTGAGGGAGAGAGACAGGCTAATAAGGGGAAAGAGTATTCAGGACTTCCGCGGAACAAGCAGAGGTCTCCCACAGGTGGCTGCCACCTCTTTTTATTCCTTTCATGGTCTGGTGTGTGCTGTCATGACAACTGGTGGGTGTCTTCGGCCTTGAAGGAGGAGGAGAGAGATGAGGAAAGTCTAGGTCAAGTTAATCCTGTATCACAGTTCTGGACAAAACATTTCTTATGTGATCAACACATCTACATGGAGAGCTGAGCAGAACCTGACCCAAAGGTTAAGGCAGCAAAGGGGCCAGGCACAATATGTAGGCAGAGATGCCAGGCCATTTCATCCTGGTCCAGACCCCATTAAACATCCACCAGCGGAAGTAGAGAGTCTGTGTTTTCAACAAAAGGGGTCTTCATGTCCCTGAAGAGTAACCTAGGCAACTGTGACCATAAGAACACACATGCGGAAGTATCATCTGCGGCAAAACAAGTAGGAGACTAACAGTGTATCGCCCAGCTGTACGACTGCCTAAACTAGTGGTTTTCTTAATTGAACTAAGAACAGTGAAACTTGTGGGTTTCTTTGGGGTTTCCCTTGGTAACGGTTCTTTGGGAAAGTGCTTAGAGTGCAAGGAAGAGTGGAAAAGGATGGGTGGGGGCAATGACAGGAGTAGGTGTAGGTGAAGGCCATCACGCTTTCTTCTTGGCCCTGGGGAGCCCTTAAAGAATGCGCACATGAGATATATTTAATCAGATTTGTACTTCATAAAAAGATGAATGTGACTGCAGTCTGCAGTATAAAGAATAAATGGGAGACCACAAGACTGAGGGGTGGGGAGAACAAGCCAGGGGCTGAGGTACTGATCCGGGCGGGGGATGGCAACCTGAACTGGGGAGGTAGCCGTGGGCATGTTGAGAAGTGGCTGTGAGAGCGCTTAAGAATTCAGAGGGCACAATGGGAGTTCATTTCCTTTAAGAGAGGAAAAGAAGACGGTCGTCTCATAGTCAAAACAAACGGCTCAGCTCACTCCATCCGCCTCAATGGCTTTTAGCATGTTTTTGACTCCTGACTCCCCTAACGGCTGAAACCTGTTTCCACTGGGATTATCATATCATCAGTGATTCTCTGCAGATAGCATAAGAACAGGCCACTCTAATTTACAAAAAGAGTCAAACAGCTCAGGTGGTTGCATGTGTGCCCTCCGTTGGCATGCCTGCCTGCCCGCCCACCCCCACTTTCGGGAATTGCTGATCTGTGCAGCAGACAAGCACTTAGAACAGAAATCTGTCCTTCGCTTAAAGTAGGAAACGCCACCCTTCTGTGTCATAGTACTAGTCCAGATATCTTGCCCTACTATGTGTGGTCTAGACACTGGCTTACTCCTTACAGAAACACAGTCTTTATGTAAGCATGCTCCCTTCCCAATGAAGAGACGAGTCAGCCAGTGTGTGATGAATTTGGATGAGGGAGACAGAAATACCAGGTACTGAAGCCAAGTCATGTGTAGTTCGCTGTGAACCATCCACACCAGCTTTTAGGACAGTTACAATCCCAGAACAACTGCTCCGCACCTCCCTTCTTTGTCACAGTATAGACCTGGCTCAAGATCCAAGAGTGAAAGAGCAACTGTAAGGAAGCAGAAACATAAATAACCCGGAGAGCCCTTTTATAACAGCAACTGCCTGCTGATTTTGTGGCCTAACAGCTCGAGCAAAAAAAGACATAAATACAATGTTGTGCAATGACTAATTACTGAAAATCTTGTGCATCAGCAGAAGTGGAACCTGTGGTTGCTGCTAATGTTATCAAATGCTTTTGCTGTTTAATAATCTGGTAGCTCTGTATTATTAAGCTTCAGTTTTCACGGAGAACAATGATTTTATTTCAAGTACCTCGCACAGAAATAAAAAAGCAGCTGTTAGAATATGAACATTTGGCAGAAAATGTTTTAGCAAGTCTTCTGTAAGATACAAAATCCTAGTGGGTGAACTGTTTCCTGTGTAGAATAGTGGAGTCATGGAGAAAAAAGGGTGCTGACCACAGAAGGCAAGTCCTTGGAACACTGTGAATTACTGACAGGCGTTTTAGGTTTAAGTCCCATTTATTCGCTGATATGTAAAGTTATTTGTATACAAAGCGTTCATTAATGTTGCCTGAAGACTGGGGTCTTTTTAATTCCATTTTTAGCTTGCACTCAAGATTCCACTTCTTTCATTAATTGTAGAATAAATTAATCCACCACAGACTTTTGGCCAGAATGGAGGTTTTCACCAGTTTTGAGTCTGCACAGCCATTCTTGTCTGTGGCCGCCCACAGTGGAGCAGAGAGGACCGTGACGAGGACCACAGCCTGCCCTGTCCTGAGCCCCAGAGGCCAAGTGCCCCACGGCATAGCCACTCCCACAGTGACAGCGGCTCTCTGTGGTCTTGGGGCTGGCCGGCCACTGGCCTGAGCGGGCGTGTGCCAGTAAGTGACGGGTAGCCTGGCGTGCCTGCTGACCACCAGATTCAGCCCAAGACCGCTATGGTGGAGCTGTTTTCGTGTGGCCGTCCTGACTCAGGGATAGTTTTTACATTGTTCTTATAACTGTAAAGCATAAAATATTCTTCTTTTTTAAATTACCAGACACTGTGCAAAACAGCTTTTCCCCAGTGGCTGCTCCTGGCATGGAATGGGCAGTGGGTAAAGGGCAAAGGTGGGGGAAACGCTGTCAGATGGCTGCGGGTGGCCTTCAGAGCAAGGCTCAAGGTGGAAAAGGGTGTAGAGAAGGAAGAGAATCATGGGTGTCTGTTCTGTGTATTTGGTGATAAGGGACAGTGCGTCTGCATTTTAACAAAGCCATCAAGATGTGAGAATCGGTTCATAAAAGCTTCATCCAAAGGCTCCACATTAGCAGGGTGTGGTGGTACATGCCTGTAATCCCAGCACTCCAGGAGGCTGAGGCAGGAGGATCACAAGTTAAGAGCCCAGCCTGGGCAACTTGGTAAGACCATGTCTCAAAATATTTTAAAAGGCTGGGGATGTAGATCTGGGTAAAAGCCCTGAGTTCAGTCCTCAGTTGTAAGAAGAAAAAATAAAATGCTGTACCTCAGTACTGATGTGATTGGTCAGTGCAAAGCCCAGCACCAGCTGGTAAAGCTGAGCGTGGACCCAGAGGCCCAGGCAGGCCCAGAAAAAGTCAGCAAATGGGCTCTTTTTGTCGGCAAACGAACCATTGCCTGACATCCATGTGTGAAGACTAAAGTGGCCAAAACACACTGTATCGGGTAGGGCATTTCTTTTGTCTCAGTGTAAAATCAAATTCCAGTGGTGCAGTTATTATAATCACCTGTGCCCTTAAATGGTTACTAAACACCCGTGGGGTGCCGATAAGTGAGGAGCCTGGAAGTTCTGGGATGAAGGTTTGTAGAATTTAAAGTTTAATCAGTGTATTGCAAGTGGGAAGATCGCGTCATTTTTAAAACCGCTTACACTGTCTTTGGGCAGAGAGGCGCTGTCCTGAGTGAGTCTCACCCCGCCTCACTTTGATTTTACACCTGACCTCACAGTGATCCTGCTGTTTTCATCTCTTTTAATGAAAGAAGGTTTTAGCCCCATAAGCCTCATTCCAGATAGAAATACATAATTCACGAGGAATCCTGATGTCAAAGAAGAAAAGGCACACCAATTTGTGTCAGCATGTGTTGTAAATTAAAGAGTACAAGGAGAGTTTAATGTAATGTAGAATTGAAATTAAAATAGAACCAATATTTAGGCATTCCTCCACCTCTTTTTTCCCTGCTGTGACATGAAGGATTGACTTTCTCCCAGCTTAAATACTAATGTAATTCATTTTTCTTTTCTGCTGGGATCTCCATCCTTCTCCTAAAATGTTACATGTTTATCTCTGGCATCCGAGATGAGACCTTTTCACCTGTGCCATTCTAATTACGACAGAAACAATTAGAGAGGGAAGCGTCAGAGTGCTTTCGAAGTCTTCCACCTCCTTCACGTTTGCAGCAAGGAAAAGACCCCGCCCTGTTCAGTAGCTATTAATCCTCCCTTCGTACGGATTCTCAGTGTGTCACCTCCATTGTTTCTTTTCATTTTCCAAAGCTGGAAAACCAAAGACTGGTACTGAACATCTGGCAATGTTGTGGGGTGCGCACTGTTCCTACACATGCAGAATTCTTCAGCACACAGGCAGGTGTCCTCCCCTTCAAAGTAGTCCGGTGGGGAAGCTTACATTTAGTCCTTTCCAAACCCCCAGTGTTCAGAACCTGTGTGGAGCTCTTTATTCTTCATTTTTGCCAGAGCTAGTGTTCTTTATAGGTTGCCCATTATTTCTGGCCAATAGTGGAATTCCCTAGCTTGATCCCACACCAAAATCAGTAGACTTGGTTTTCAATGACTCACTTTTTCTAGGAGAAAAAAAAAACCTCCTGAGGAGAGAGCCCTGGACACCAGCATCACTTGCCACCTGGGAATTATTAGAAATGCAAATCTCAGGCGCCACCTTGGATTTAATGGATTAGAGACTTTGAGGGTGGATCCCAGCAGTCCCTGTTTGTACAAGCTTTCAGGCAATTCTGATGTCAAATTTGAGAGCTAGATTTGCCTCTCTTGAGGATATTCAAAAATATACCACAAATTTTGAAGATATTCTTTAAAAGTTTCAAAGTATTTGGGGGCGAAGTTGGAATGCATGTGTGGCCTCCTCAAAGCACTGCTTTCATGGGGACAGGGCTTCAGTCAGGGGTACCCTGCTTGTGCCACCTCGCCACAGACCGGAGCCGATTCTTACACTTGACTTCTCTTGTGGAATTTGAAAAACTGAACTGGTCCATCTCACAGAATTGTAGTGAAATTCAAATTGAATCACACTGTAACATGCCTTGTAAATCAGAAAGTACAGAGGGAAGGACTTGTCACTCTGCAGGCAGGATTCTGGTGATGCAAGCATTGTATGGGGCTTGAGTCGGGAAAGCATTTGCCATTCTGTTGGACAGATACCCCTTTTCATCTCTATCGTGATCAGGTCGGTACATCTCCAATTCTGCCCTTTCAGCTCACCAGTCATGTGGTAGGGAGAGGAAAACCATTGCATGATTAGTGGCTACAAGAGGCTAGAAAAATCTATCCATGTTCAGCCATGTTTTTTCTCTGGGAGTCCCAAGCATGCGCTGTGATGACCTGTGAGAGTGGCTGGTATTCGTGGATCCCGAGGCCCTCATGGCCAGAACATGGCACACACCAGCGACCAGCCACTGCAGGACTGTGCAAGGGAATCACGACTCCGAGAGGGGAGTTTAGCATCCAGCTTAGTGCCAAACCTCTTCATCACAGAAAATCCCAAACAAAATCCCTCAAGCCAACCAATTCTACAGAAATGGAGATTTACCCACTAGTGCAGTTAATGTGTATTCTGTGTCCCGGAAGAATGTGGGTGCGTATTTACCTCAGAGATTATCTTTTACAAACAATTCCATCGTAGGAATTCTTAAACAGCAAGCTCCTGGGGCATCTATAATTTAATTTGAAAACTTTACAGACTTTAGTAAATACTTCTGAACAGGAAGCAAGCTAAAGCAGTTGCCTCAGTAATTTAATAGGAATGAAGTTCAGTAAAGAACAAATCCCACTAGGCTAACATCAGCGTCACTGTTCCCATAAAGTGTTAGCTAAAATCAGATTAGGTGTGAGTATGACTGTTTAATTATGGTTAAGTTATGGTTGACTATGGGTTAATAAGCTATTGGTTAATTACAGAATGAAAACATGAAGTGGTTTTACTCGAAAGTGTGTGCCTATTTAACAAATCTGTTGAGACAGAAAGTAGGTTAGTGGTTCCTAGCCCTGGATGTAGTACAAAGAATGAGCAGTGGCTGTTTTTATTTTTGTTTTTGTTTTTCTTTTGAGACATGGTCACCATGTAGTTCAGGCTGACCTTGAATTCACTATGTAGCCCAGGTTAGCCTCCGACTCACAGCAATCTTCCTGCCTCAGCCTCCCACATACTGGGATCACAGGCATGTGCCACCATAGGCGGCTTAAGTGACTGTCAGTGAGTATGAGGTTTGTCTTAGGGGGATGAAGTTTTCTAAAATTAGATTGTGTTGATGGTTGCTCAACTCTGTGACTAACTGAAGAACACTGAATTGTGTGCTTTAAAGGGGTGAATTGTATGGTGTCTGAATTATATCTCCAAACTGGTCTTTTGGGGTGGATGCTGGGTGCCTAGCTCAATAGCAGAGTACCTGCTTAGCATGCACAAGGTCCTGGGTTTGTTCCTTAGCACTGGAGGAAAAATCTTTTTTGTTTTGTTTTTAAATCAAAGAGCTAACAAATTGTACAGCCAAGGAGGAAAAAGGTGTTTACTTGAAAGACAGAAGTGAAGATAATATCAAAACTGTTGCCAGGCATGGTAGAGCATGCCTGTAATACCAACTACTCAGGGGGCTGAGGCAGAAAGGTCAGAAGTTTGAGGCCAGGATGGGCAACTTAGACCCTGACTCAAAATAAGATGGCTGACAATGTAGCTCAGCGCTAGAGGCCTTGCTGAGCACGCACGAGGCCCTGGGCTCAACCCCAAGTAATGTTTTTTTAAAAAGATTGGGAGGGGAAGCATGCAGTTTCAATTTATCAAGTTGAAATACTGATCATTTGAAATATATTAAGCCAGAAAATATTGGCTCTTCTAATCACAGAATATTTCAGAAGCAGACTATCAAAGCCTAGTAATTGAAATTTAACTATCATGAATTAAAGTGGCTGACAGAGGCAAAGTCATTGGATATTTGTGACATAATGATTCCTCATGTTCCCTACAGATTTATTTAGAATGAGAATCTGCAGTACTTACACAATAATAGGAACTCTGGATTGTCATTAGCTGTCAGATGCGCATAAACCACTATAGCTCAGGAAGGCAGAAGGCAGAAGGTTGAGGTGGGGAAGGATGTGACCTCATTCTTACGGGTAAACGTGCTGATAAGAGAAGATGGGCAGATTCCGACGTGAGCTGTGTACCCGGCTGTTGCGTAAGTAGCACCACGTCTCACAGCTCGTGCATCAGAGGGAGGCACAGGAGGGAACCTTGGCACTGTCCCATCTGGGAAGGTAAGCCAGGGATCTTGGTCCTCGTCCTTTTGCTAAATTCCTTATCCCAGAGCTGGAGGCTTGTCCAGAGCTGACTGGTGCTCATGGAGGCCGTCCAGTGAGGAAGAGAGGACAGGAACTGGCAGGAGGTGGAGGGTCTTCTGACTCTGTGGAAGGGAAGCAGGAGTTGCCGAGCCCTGCCTAGTGTGTGTGGTGATGTGGACTTGCTAGGTAGGGCTCCGTCCTGCACCAGGAGACCTGGCCCAGCCCCTCGCAGTGCTCTGGGAAATAGGCCCTGCCTAGTGTTCCCCTACATTTTTTTCATTATTATCACCCCAATTCCCAATAGCCTTTTAAGACTTTTTTTACCCTAATCACCCTCCCTCTTCCTCTATGAAGTATTAATACCACAAATACACACACACACACACACACACACACACACACACACGTACACACACATTTATGTCCTGTGGCTTCGAAGAGCCACAAACCATTGTATTCACTATGATTTTTTTCACCTACACCTTACCCTACCAAAAATGGATTTCTGCCCCATTGGACGTATGGCCCCGGCTGAGAACACATGGCCTGGATGCAGTGCAGACTCTGGGCAGGGATTCCTGCTTTCTCTTGGAGGTTGGTCACACATCATGTGGTCTAATGTCTGTCACTCGCCGGAATAAGCCTGACTCAGGTTCCGGCACTGCTAGAGGAATGTCCTCCAAAATCGCGTTGTTCCTGCGCCATCTGTGCAGCCTGCCTGCCGCCCTCAGAGCTCCGCCACCCCCTCTTCCAGGGCAGCAGTCCTCTGCCCAGTGGCGGAGAATAGAGTGCTCCACCGAGCAGCAGTGCCGGAGTGCGTGTCTTGCCGGCGAGCTGTAACCCTTCCCATGCTGTACCCGGCCCCGTCTGCCCCAGCTCTGTGCCTCAGCCCAGAGGGCCTGTCATGGCTCATCCTCAGCTCCTGGTCCCCAGGTGAAAGCATGTGACTTTCCAGGCTTCTCCGTCTCACAGTGACGAGAGGATCCTTTATACTTTACATTGCTTCAGGCTCCATACGCAAGCTCTAAAGACTTGAGTCTGTCCCTACCGCCAGAGGGGAATAGGTTTTGGACACACCAGCACACAGATGGCCTCTGCTAGAACTCTCAGGAGCCTGGCCTCCCTCTCATGGAGAGCTGCAGGAGCCTGGCTTCTGCCTCCTTCTGGCTCCTTATTCTTTCCTTTGAGCTGGAACAGAGCCAGTTCTGCAGACCGTCCTAGGATGGTAGTAACTCTTTGTTCCTGAGAATCCTGTCTGTCCCTTTCTGAGCTTTCACTGCAAAACTGAGCAAAGTAAGGGGCCTTGGAGAGGAAACCACCTTGGTTGCACACTCACTGTATGCGTGCGCTGTGCTGGCCCCTTTGATAATACATTTTCCAGTTCAGTAATTATGAAAGCCCTAAAAGTACCCTCCCATTGTACAGATAAATAAACCAACAGAAAAGGTACCAGAATAATATACCAGAAGTCACCCAGCTAGTAAGTGGTGAAATCAGGTCTTAAACCCAGGTCTGTCTGACCTCAAGCCATTTGCCGTTTTGTCCCAGTTGAGAATGCATATGCCCAGTTCTGTGAATAGAAGTAAAAATGACAAAGAGGCTTTACTGCAGCTAAACAGGCACTGAATCTGCGGTTTTTATTAGCATATACTAACTATGCCAAATACTGGGTTATGTTGTGACACTTTCGTGTATGTATGTAACATACTTTGATCCTTAAAAGGTGCTAGAGATGGGCGGGGCGTGGAGCTCAGCGGAGGAGCACTTGCCTAGCACATGGCATGTGTGAGGCCCTGAGTTCAAGCCCCAGCACCAAAAAAAAGGAAAAAGTGACAGCGCTTAAAAAAAAAAAAAAAAGGCAGTGGTAGGAGTGAAAAGCTCTTTCTGTGCCAGTTCTCCTGGTTCATCACCCCCATGCCTCCTGCCTGTCAGAGGTTAACCTTGGAGGACAAAACATGACTTCTCCTAGGGCCAGTGAGGTCTCAGGCCTCAGCCTCCTGCACTTGAGAACAAGGCAGGGGCCCTGTCCGTAGAGCTCGGACAACAGGGCAGAGTAGGACTGGCCTACAGGCTAGCCTTAGGGTGAGATGCGACAGCAACTGGCACAGCTCCTTGAACCACTCTCCCTTGAAGGATTCTGACCTCAGCCCTGTGCAGAGAACAAGCCTGACCCTCTGTCTCAGTGGGACCTGGGGCCCCAGCACCGTGCCAGAACCCTAGCATTTCATACGCGCTCTCTTTTCCCTTTCTTGAACCCCCTGCAAGATACTTTCTTAAGAAGAAACAGTGCATTGACTTGGGATTTAGTCATGTTTCGTCCCGTTTGCTTTTCCCTTGCTTCTAAACCACAAGCTGGCTGGGGAATTCATGTCCACAGTGTAGGCTCTGAATAGTTTTGTGTAAGGAGAGGTTTTGAAAAGAAAAGAAAGCGGTATCTGCTTGTCAGATGGAATGTGTGAAGGCATCGCGGAGGAATGCGAGGACTGTAACCGTTAGGGTCCCTGGGCAGTTTGGGCTGTGAATCATCCTGCCCGGGTACAGATTCCTGACAAATGAAGCGTCGGGATGACATCATCCCTGCAAGATCATCCAGTGTCTGTTGTGTTGCCTGACAAGATCTTCCCTTGGAGATCTTCATCACATGGGAGTTTTTCCAAAACACACTTAATACCCATCATTCCTCCTCCTCACACTCCCATTTTCCTGACAACAGGAATTTTGTGAGCTAGGGCTTTCTCAAGCTCATTTGATTGCCCTCCCTCCTACAGGCTTGCTCTTGGGACAGCGTGTGCGCCTTCCCTCATCACGTGTGACAGTGTGATCAGGCAGCACTTGCTTCAGCCCTAGGCCTTGGGACACAGAGGTCATGAGGAAGACAGGGAGCATCAGGGAGGGTGGGCGGCTGACCTAGGCTGGTGGGGTCAGCAGAGCACGGTGCTTTGAACATAGTGTGCCAGGCAGTAGATATGTGCTGACCAAGCTTGGGCCTGGGGTAGAGTCTTAGAGCGTGACTGTCTGAGTTCATCCAGGAAAGAGTCCACACCAAGATGTCGCCATGAACAAAGACCCAGGAGTAAATAGGAAGAAGTAGGAGATGTGACTGGAAGAGTGGTTTCAGGAACTTGTATGACATGTCAAGGAGCTAAAACTGTATCCTAAGGAAGACGAGAAACATTCAAAGGGCTTTGGGCCTAGCGGGGAGGTGGGCAGATCATAGCAGTGTAGAGGATGGATCGAAAGGGTCCCCATCGGAGGCACAGTGACCAGTCAGGAAGGGAACGCACACCTCTAGAGGTGATCTAGACATGAGGTAGTGCAGTGGGACTAGGGGCGGAGATGAGAGGACAGACCTGAGAAATATTCAGGCTCTGAACTTGGCAGCTGGTAATTAAGTATATAGGAGATAAAGCGCAAAGACCCCAGGTTTTCACCTGACCCAGGGTCAGGTGCCACAACGGACACAATTGAAAGAGTCCCACGGTGGGGCAGAGTTACGGTCAGTTTGGCATGCTGTGCTGAGTTAGAGCTGTCCAAGGAGACATGAGTCCGGTGAAGCAGGTCCACAGCAGAAGTACAGGCACGGGTGGCACATACCGTGAATATCTGGATTGTTTTCTGACTTATTACGTAAAAGACACATTACCATTGACTCCCCTCAGAACACTCTGCCCTTCTTTAAACACACTTACCTGTTGCTCTTGCCACTTTCGGAAGTTGCTCTAGAAGTCTGACGTTCCCATGAGTGTCATTAGTTGCACTGTCATAGCTGCCTCAGTGTCCTAAATTGATTAAAGTTTACCTTTCAAGGTCGTTTTGACTTTGGGGAAGAATCAGAAGTCACACAGTGCCAGATCCAGTGAACGAGGTGGGTGAGGACGCACCCTGTTTTTATGAGCCTGCCTTTCCATGCAAGGCCACTTGGCAGCAACATTCACCATGTTTTTGATCACACCTCATAAAGCTGCAAAAGAGGATTTCCAGAACTGCTTCAGAAAGTGGCCAGAACAGTGGCACAAGAGTGTTCGAAGTGAGGGGAGTACTTGGAGGTATACAAATGGTAATTTGAATGCAGTAACAAAATCAACTGTAATGTGAACATTCACTGTATATTTTGTATATACAAATCCAAAGATAGAGTCTGGGCTACAGCGATGGGTGTAGGATGCATAATCATGCTAGTCGAGGCTGTATTAGTAGTTGAGACACCCAGGGAATGATGGGAAATGTGAACGACCAGGAGCCCAGGATGGAACCCAAGGGAAACCCATGTCAGTGGGATGGGAGGAGAAGGACCGAAGGGTGGGCCAGAAAGATACAAGGGACTGGAACACACACCCTCCTGCCTGTGCCCCTTCCTCGATCAGTGTCAGTGCTTCTCTCCCTCCTAAACCTTCGCTCTCTGGCCATTCTGTGCTTCATAAATCAGCTTTTTCACATCCTTAGCTCCCCGCACAGCCCTCGAAAGTGAAAGCTTCCCCTGACCCTAAAGCCTACTAACTGAGGCTTCCAGCCATCGCCCCTGTACCTTCCTGTGACACTTCCTGCACTGTTGACACTCACGGCATTCAGTTATAGCACCTTAGACTCCTTTCCGGGGTGCTTTCTAACACACTGCTTCCTGCATCGCCATTTTTCTCTCCACCCTAATGCTCTCATGTAGGGTGACTCCCGTACCATGAGGATGAGCCATTTCCGGGTCCCCTAGTTCCTAGGTGCCCTCCACTCTGGTGACCCTTCACCTCTGCTCCACTTCAAACTCCTACCCCCACGCCAGCTTCCGGACCTTGTTGATACCCGCCTGCGCCCACCTCAGTCCTATGCTAATAAACCATCTCCTACGCGGACCACAGCCAGCTCACTCACTCCTTCTCCAACACTGCTCTCTTCCCTCTTTCCCTACTACTAATACGGCTTCAACTAGTGGTATTACACGTCCTCAACCCATCTCTGTGGCCCAGGCTCTATCTTTGGATTTGTATTTACAAGGGGCAATCAAAATATACAGTGAATGTTTACATTAAAATGATTTTGTGGCCGGGCATAGTGGCACACACCTGTAATCCCAGCACTCAGGAAGCTGAGGCAGGAGGATCATTGCAAGTTCAAGACCAGCCTGGGCTACAGAGTGAGCTCAAGGCCAGCATGAATTGCATAGCAAGACCCTGTCTCAAAAAGACAAAAAAAAAAACCATTTTGCTACTGTAGAGTGCATTCAAATTACCATTGATTCAGATTACTGTTAATCTCTTTTCCTCTTTCCTTAGGGTTTCCTATAAACCCTGTGAAGCTGGGTTTTTCCTGCCTCCATTTTTTCCTGCCTTGTTGAGCACCTCCTGAATGCCCTTTGTTCCTTAACCTGGTTAGGCTCCCTGGTTGTTCATCTGAAAAAAATCTCTTCTGAAACCTTTGCTTCCCTTGTGCCCTGTGTTGTCTGATAGCCCTGCTCAGGACAACTCTAGCTCACATTCTCAGAGGTCCTGCCTCAAGCTCATAGCGGACAGTGGGACCCCATGTAGGGGATCATCACTACAGACTCATGATTCGCGCACTCTCATCCCTGCCATTCCTCATCACTATAGGAAACATAAACCCCTCCCATGGGGAAGTGGGAAAATCTGAGCAATAGCCAAACCCAATCTCTTTGCCCAAAAATAGCATCTCCACCTGTTCTGTTGCTGGATGCACTCACAGATGACCTTGCTACAAATCTGCACTGCTCTGTACCACCTTGTTTTCTTTTTTTTTTACACTGGGCAAATTGTTCCTTTCCTTGAATCTCAGCTCCCTCAGCCCTAATACAAGAGCCCCACAGGTTCCTGCTGGCTTTTATGGGACACTGTACACATTAGAAGCGGCCCCTCTGCCTAGGCTCAAACTTGGTGAGCTGAGCGTGGCCTGCAGGCCCACACTCACCCCGCCATGTAGCACCACTTGGTGTAACCGCACACCATACTCCCAACTGTGCCTTCCTCCAAAGGGTCCTTGAGAAAAAATAAAGGCAATTGCATGTAAAGCACCCAGCAGAGAGCTCGATCTGAGCAGAATCTCAGAAAAAAGAGCCACTCCAGACACTGGGAGCTGTAGTAATATGTATGTGGGGTGGCAGAGCCACCACTGTGAAGCATTTACTGCCAGCTCCACGGGGTTTATAGTGTGCTCCGTCTCTCACTGGAACCCTGGGGACAGGGACATAAACTGAGGCAGTAGTGGGGAGAGGGAGAGGTACTGGAGAGTGTGGTGTTGGCCAGAGAAGACAGTATGAAAGGGAGAAGCAAAAGACTAGGGCACCGGCCTCCCCGTCGCAACTGTCTCAGGGCCTGACAGCAGAGGCCGCCATGCTGATGCCGCACCCTAGCTCTGCCTTCCTCTCAGCCTCTGCCCTTGGGGTCATCTTCCCAGCCACTCACCACTCACCGCCTACTGCCTCCACACTGCCCCACGCACCCCACAGAAGGCGCAGGTGTAGGTTTTGCTGTCCTTGCACTGCACTGGTAACCAGCAGCCTCCCCACGGACCACAGACCAGAACGTCTCAGAACCCTGGAGTGAGGGACCTCAGGCAAGCAGGAATTTCCAAACACCACATCCATGAAGCAGCTCTTCCTTAAGAGGAAATCGTTCTGAGAAGGCAATAAATAGTAGCCACATGGGTAACTGTATGAAGGAAGATGAATTATACCATCACCCCTTTCGGCACAAAAATAATTTTCAGTGAAAGGTTAAAACCATCATGTTGTATCAATGAGAACTGTTCCATTATTCCAAGAATGATTGATTGGAAAGTACTTTACTTACAGGAACATCACTGTGATACAATACAGCTTCCACTTTTAAAGCACTTTCCATTAAAGAAAAAATTGTATCAACGTGTAAAAATAGTTACACTGAAGATGTGAATCAACAGCCAAGTAATTTATTGGCACTTGAAAGCCTTGTGGTATAAATAGATTCAACAATGGGAGGATCAAGTAACTCTGGGCCGTGGCAACCTAACCTTCATTTTCACCAACACAAAAGAAAGTCGCATGAGGTTGAGCCAGGGCCTTCTGGCCACTTTGGGAGATTCCTCATGAAGAGGACATTGCAGAACTAGGGCCGCTAGGTCAGGTCAGTTTTTCACAAAGCACTGGGCCGGGCACTGGGAAAGACCCAGGCAACAGAGATGTGATCAACAGAACGTTCAGATTTCCCGGACTGCAGGCCTGCACACAGAAAAGTGTAGTGTGTTCAGGGTCCTAGAGAAAGAAGTGCAAAGGATCTTAACGTACTAAAGAGGAGAGTCTTTCTACTTAGTGATTTCCTTTTGTCCTCTCCCTCCCTGCCTGCCAGTGGCCCACAAATATCTACGGGGTGGGTCGAGGTGAACAGAGCAAGGAATCAGCTGAGTCTGGGTGCACCTCGCATCTCTGCTGTTTGCTAACTGCGTGACCATGGACAGTGTCGAGGGCCTGAGATTGAAATCCCTCAGTCTGAGGGTGGTGGGGACAGCGGGGGTCCCTGTGAAGTTGAAGTGCAGTCAGTGTCATGTATGGAGTAAAGGACCCAGCTTTGCTGCCTGAGGCGGAGCAGAGAGTAGCAGTTCACTCCCTTCTGACCCCTGCATGCCTCTGGAAGGAGGGGTACTCTCCCATCCCTTGCTTGCTTAAATTCACAGCTTCTCCTCTGTTGGATGTCATGCGGCTTTAGATGTTTTTGACCTGATGGCCCTGTGGGTCAGGGGCTGCTCTGTGTGTGTGTTTGGCCCGACTGCCACCCTCTTTTGTGAAGAATGTGGAACCCCGTGCATCTTGCTTCTGGTGAGGTCAAAACCAGGGCACCAGAGCGCTGGTTCAGCAGCAGGCAGCAGTTTCGTACTCACTACTTTTAAGGGATTGTGTAACTATGAAAAGTCACCAAGGGAAAATCGAGACCAGATTTCTGACTTCTCAAAATAGTTTAATACATGAGGAATGCCTCAGTCAGAGTTCTCGGCTGACTACAAAAGAACGAGCTGTGGTTGGACCATCAGAACAGGCCATCTCTGGCATCTTGAACTGCAGTTTTTCAGTAGTCACTGTCACAACCAGAACATGTTCCTGCCAGACCCCTCAACTTTCAAGCTTAGTCCTGGGTTGCAAAAGAAACTGCCCCAGTGAGACGGGTGTCCCCAAACACAGGAAGGAGCTTCTCTTGGGTCACTGCACACTCACTCATGGCAAGTGCCCACACAGTTTTTTTTTAAATATTGGAATCACTGCCTGGGCATGGTGGCACACGCCTGTAATCCCAGCAGTCGGGAGGCTGAGGCAGGAGGATTGTTGCAAGTTCGAGGCCAACCTGGGCTACAAAGTGAACTCGAGGCCAGCTTGAACTGCATAGCGGGACCGTCTCAAAAAGACAAAAAAACAAAATATTGGAATCATGTAGAGGCAAAAAGTTGTCACATTTACTAATTTGCAAAGTGACTGACGTTCAGGGTTGGGAGGTGTTTTTAGCTATTGTTGGTTGGGAGAGTGGTTTGTTTGCTTGTTTGTTTCTTGAGACAGGGTCTCACTATATAGTTTACGCTGGTTTTGCACTTGCTGTATACCCCAGGTTGGCCGTGAACTTGTCACAGTCCTCCTGCCTCAGCATCATAGTGTTAGAAATATAGGCAGGTGCTACCACGCCTGGCTTCAGGTTTTAAATTCTTTACTAGTGTTTTTAATTTTTAATTTTAAAAATACCTAGCCAGGCATGGTGGCACATGCCTATAGTCCCAGCACTCAGGAGGCCAAGGCAGGAGGATTGCCGTGAGTTCAAGGTCAGGCTGAATATACACAGCAAGACCCTCTCTCAAGAACAAAACAAAAAAAAAAACCTAAAAAATTGCAGTACTCCAGTACTTTTCACCTAGTTTCACTAGTTATTCATATTGTACTATATTTGTTTTATTGATAACTCTCAAAATACATAAATATGCTTTTTTTATGAACCACCCATTTTGAGAGTAATTTGTAATCATCATGACCCTACCCTTCTTTTTTCTTCTGTGAGTTTTAACCCAGGGCGTTTGTACTGAGCTACCTCCTCAGGCCATTTATTTTGAGAGGTTTTACTGAGTCACTAAATTGCTGAGGTTCGACTCAAATTTACAATCCTTTGCCTCAACCTCCCAGAATGCTGGGATTATAGGTATTTGCCACCAGGCCCAGCTAACTCTTTACCTATTAATACTTCTGAATATATCTCTTAAGGACAAGAACATAAGAATTATCAAATTTAAGATATTTATCACTGAAACAATCTTGTATGCAACCAAATAATGTCAAATAGTATTTATAACTTTTGTCAGATATCCAACCTAAGATGATGTGTCATAGTTATTTTGTTGCTCAAGTTTCCTTTAATGTGAAACAAGTCCTTAAACCTTTTTTGTCTTGAATTACCAGTTTTTTTAATGTTTCATGTTTTTGGTACCCTAAGAAATCTGCTCAGTATAAAGTTACAAAGATTGCATCCTATTTTCTTCTAGAAGTTTTGCTGTTTTAACTCTTTATATTTAGCTCTACAGACTCGGCTTGAATTAATGTGTATGGTATGAGTTCATGCTTTTAAATACAGATATCCATTTCTTCTATCATCATTTGATTTTTAAAAAACACTATCCTTTTCTCCATGGAATCTTTGACATCTTTGTTAAAAATAAATTGACCATCTATCTATGGGTCTGTTTCAGGACTCTTCCAGTCAAGTGCTCCACTTGTCTGTCACTGACACTGTCTCACTGTCTGCTCACCATAGGTTATAGTAAGTCCTGAAATCAGATAGTTTACATCACCCACCAGTGTTCTACTTCAACACTGTTTGGTTATTTGTATTTTACATTTCCACATAAATTTTAAGACAGGGTCTTTTTGTAGTCAAGGCTGTCCTTGAACTTGTGACCCTCCTGCATCAGTTTCTCAAGTGCTGGGACTACAGACGTGTGCAACAATGCCTTCCACATAAATTTTAAAATCTTTTTGCCCGTTTCTAACAATTCTGAACTGGGATTTTTATTGGAACTGTGGTGAACCTATAGTTGAGTTTGGCAGAATTGACATCTTAATAATATTGAGTTTTCTAGCCCATGAATTTCTCACTATTCATTTACATTTTCATTAATTTCTCTTACTTTCTTTAGCAAAATTATACAGATCTTACACATATTCAGTTAAACTAAGCCCTAACCACTTCATATTTTATGCTACTGTAAATGGTATTGTTTTGAAATTCTTTCATATTCTTCACTGCACTTTTTTATTGACCTTGCACCTCTTACCCTACTAGTAGATTTTTGCAGAATTTCTTAGAATTTCTACGTAAGATTTGTGCCGTGTTCAAAGAAAAACCTTAACTTCCTCCTTTCCGGTGTGTGTACCTTTCCTTCCTGTCTTTTCACACTTGCTAAGCAATCTAGTACAAGGTTAAGCACAAACAGTGAGAACAGAGGTCCTGGGTTTGTTCCCAATATACAGGACAAACCATTTGGTCTCACTGTAGATTTTTCACAAATACTCTGTCAAGATCAAATTACACTTTCTATTTCAAATTTCCTGAATTTTTTTATCATGAATATAGAATTTTGTAACTTTTCTTGTCCTACTGGTATTATAAAAAATTTTGTTATTTTTTGTGATGCTCAGGTTTGAGTCTGGGGCTATGCACATGCTAGGGAAACACTACCATTGAGCTACACCCCCCAACCTGTACTGACTTTTCATAAATGTTAAGCCTGTAGTCCCAGCATTCCTTGGATAAATTATACTTGCTCATGATGTTTTTTATGTTTTTATGCATACATATATGTAAATACATATGTATATATTCCTTGCTTTAAAAAAAAAATTAAGATTTTGAGCTGGGCCTGATGGCACATGCCTGTAATCCCAGCAGTCTGGAAGACTGAGGCAGGATTGCAAATCCAAGCCCAGCCTGGGCCATTTAGTGAGACTCCATCTCAAAATAAAAAATAAAAAGGGCTAGGATTATAGATCTGGGAAAAACACCCTGGGTTCAAACCACACACACACACACAAGATTTTGTATCTATAATTGATCTACATTTTTTTTCAAAACAGGGTCTCACTGTGTAATTCAAGCTGACCTTGAACTCACTATGTGATCCAGGCTGGCCTTGAAGTCACAGTGATCCTCCTGCTTCAAGCCTCCTCAGTGCTGGGATTATAAATGTGTACCACTGCACCCAACAGATCTATTTCTTTTCTTGTCATTGCCTAGTCTCTGTATCATGGGAATGCTGGCCTTATGAAATGATTTGCAGTGTGTTCACTTGACTCTTCTATTTTCTGAATCTATACAGATTAGTATTATCTCTTGCTTAAATTCTTGCAAGAATTCTCCAGTGAAGACATCTAGCTTAGTTTTCTTTGTGGGAAAACTTTCCATTTTTTTGCATTTATATTTTTTTAACACAGTGTGTCAGCTTTCATTTCTATGACCAAACACCTGAGAAAAACAAAGGAAGAAGGACTTATTTTGGCTTATGATTTCAGAGGTTCAGTCCGTGGTCACCTGGCTGTAATGCTGATAGACCTGTGGTGAGGCAGAAACATCATGGTACCAGGAGGCAGAGCAGGAAAGAGCCTAAGAGGAAGGGGTGGGGACAACACATACTCTTCAAAGGCACAACCCCAGTAACCCACTTCCTCCAACTGAGTCTCACCCCCGACAGCCGTTCAGCCATGAACCTACTGATGGATTTCAATGATGTCAGTGCCCTCGTGGTCCAATACTTCAGTCCCTTTTCTTTCTGTTTCATACCCCTTGTCACTACTGTCTACATTTCATGTAG